GAGTTACAATCTAAGAAAGTAAAAAATAAAATAAATCATTAGACTTTTCTAAATTATATACAAATATTTTATTAGTTTTTTTTTATAATCATTTTTTTTTTTTTTTATGTGGTCTGGTTCTCAAATATGTGATTTCAGCATTCTTTTAGGTAATTTATTGTAGATGAATAATTTCGGGTAATAAACACTTCATATAAAATYTAAATTATAAAGTATGATGTGTTAATAAAATAGATAAATCATGATTCTTTAGTAATTGTGTATTCTTGTGAAAGATTATCTAATTACTCAGAGTAAATATTATTATAAAAAAGACTCACGTTTAAAGCGGTTCAGACATTTTGGAATCCCAAAATGATTGATCAAAGTACCTATATTAATTCTTCTATACTGCTCCATTTGGCCGTGTATATCACAAAAAAGCATTTTTTTCTTTTATATAGTTGCGCGTATAATTGTCCCATTATTTGTTAGTAATATATGTGATATTTTTTCAATTGAATTGTTTGCCCTTCAACTGCAATATTGTAGTTAAAAATTAAATCAAAATCAAAATTACGTTCACACTTCACACAACATAATGTTACGAAGGCTAAAATTCTTCAAATMTAACGAAATTTAATTGTTTACTTTATAAMACTAAATACAAATTTAAGGTACTGTAAGTAATTATCGACAAAATATTGCAAGAAAAATATATTTGCAAAACCAATATACTGCATGAGAAAAATATCGTCGGTATAAAATATAGCAGGAATTTAATTGTAACATAATATTTTGGTCACGATATTTTTACTAGCAATATTTTGTTGGCATTATAATACACCTATAARTTATATAATATTATAATGCATAATTTAACACTTACAAATTTACTGTTCACTTCTTCTATGGCATCGTTTGAATCACGAGCAGAATACCTATGGACATTTTATTTCCAATAAATAATGTTTACCAATATAAGGCCAATTATAAAATAAGTGAATATTACAAAAAATGTATCAGCAGCCTCCCTATGTTGGGGGTTATTATTCAGAATTATATATTTATTATATTTTAGACTTAATTTTTATATGTAGGTATATTATTAACTTGCGATTTAATAATTTATTATATTAAAAATATAAATTATAATTCATATAACTTATATTTTGGTAGTAAAATAATAATAATGTTCTGTTACCTGGGCTGGCAGCTAGATATGGAAATTCTGGATCTATAATCAAACCATTCTCAAAAACTTTTTCTTTCGACAATTGTTCAAATTGTTGACGAGCATTAGTCCCCATTTCACTACCATACTGTACCGATTTTGTTTGTAGAGTGTCAGAAGCATATAAAATATTATGAACTACATTTTTGTAGCTAGTGTTTGACCGCATTTTACAAATTTTGAAGCTGTTTGTCGTATTTTACGTTCGTTGTCCACATTTCACTGTTGCTTTGGTTTCGAATTTCAAATTAATTTTTTTTTACATCAGCTCGAACTAATTTTTCTAAAATTTTTACGCAAAACCAGTTTTCGACCAAATCGATTTTTTTTATATGGTTGTAATTCAAAAACTAATCACTATAAATACTTGAAATTTTCACCAAATGTT